AGTGGATCCTTCAGGTAGATTTCGATGGGCCTCGTTAAAGATTTTCCTCTGAAGATTAAGACCAATGAAGGGCCTCTGAAAGGTTTCCAAATGAGGAGTGATATAATTAGGTTTGTGGTTTTTTAAATATCAGCCTGGATTCCGTATGAAAAATGAGTCACAGAGGAGCAAGAAAGGGTGCAGGCAAACTAGTTAGGAGGCTGCCCTGGCGCCTCTGACAAATGAGGAAGCAGTGTGACCACAGGTGGGCAACAGGCGTTGGAACCACGGGGTGGCCTGAGGGACCCGTGACAATGCTGAGAAGAGAAAGAAGGAAACACGTCAAGGCAGACCCTAGATATTTGGCTTGCCAGCTGGTGAAGCACCATTCACTAAAATACTAGAAAGTGACAAAGGGGTGGATTTGGCAGAGGAGATAAGGACTCTTTCTCTGGCCTAGTGGCTTGGCGGTCTCTCTTCGATATCCCAAGGGAAGTGGCCAGGAGATAGCTGGATAAACAGGTCTGGGATTCAGAAGAGAGGTCTGGACTGGAGGAAAATAGAGATTCAAGAGACGTCATTAAATAATAATAAGATGGCTGGGCGTGGTGGCTCACGCCTGTAATCCCAGCACTTTGGGAGGCTGAGGCTGGCGGATCACCTGAGGTCGGGAGTTCATGACCAGCCTGATCAACATGGAGAAAGCTCGTCTCTACTAAAAATACAAAAAATTAGCCAAGTGTGGTGGTGCATGCCTGTAATCCCAGCTACTCGGGAGGATGAGACAGGAGAATTGCTTGAACCCGGGAGGCGGAGGTTGCAGTGAGCCAAGATTGTGCCACTGAACTCCAGCCTGGACAACAAAAGCGAAACTCTGTCTCAGTAATAATAGTAAAACTTCATTTGTACCTGGAGAGGTGGTAGAAATAGAGAGAAGCCTCGACAGATCCTAAAGTTTCTGAGAAGAGTCCATATGAGAATGGTGGGGTGCTGACAGAACCCAGGATGAAGCAGAGATGGACTCTTTGAAGAATGCTGAAATAACCGGGACTTACGGAACTGTAGAGGGCGCAACTGAGCTATTGCAAAAGAGTATGATTGGGTATGGGAGGGGATGGTCAAACCCTCAAGGGAAGTATTCCACACCAGGCTTACAGAGAAGTACTTGCTGTCAAGTTTCTGTGATTTGAGAAGCTATGTTTCCCCCAAGGCCGAATGACTATATTTCTCGCCTTCTCTTAGAAATAGGTGTAGGTGTGACCGTGTTACATTTCATTAAAAGAAAAGGGGATTCATTCTTCCCCACCTCCTTTCTCCACCCTACTGCTTGAATCATGGATGTGACAGCTGGAGCTCTAGCAGCCTTTTGTTTCCTCAAGATGACAACCAAACCCAAGAGATGGTTATGAAATGAGCTAGCAAGTATCTGCATCTCTGACAATTTCATGGAACCTCCATACCTCTCTCAGGCTACCTACTTCCAGACTTCTTTGAAAAGAGAGAAAAATAAATGATCATATTTAAGCCCCTATCATTTGAAGATGTTCTCTTATACACAGTCAACCCTAATCCTAACCAGAACACTAGCCAACTGGTCTACCCCATCCCCTGCCTTGCTCTACCCTTACCTTAGGTCATGTCATTGCTCTAACAGGGAATATTCTCTTCCCCCTTGCCTGTACTGACTTAAACCCTGCCCATCCTTTGGAGGATGGATCAAATTCTACCTCCCACCAGAGATTTCCCTTCTACTTCCTCCCTGAATTCGGGCACTGTCTGCCTGCCTCCCTTTGGGCATCTGGCCTGCTCTGCCTTCCAGGAGAGTGATTCACCCTTCCATAGTTATCTCCTGACTCCTTGACCAGGCTCGGGACCATCAAGGCAAGGCCCATGCTTTCCAGATCCTCGTATTCCCTGGGCTGGAAAGGAACTGGATACAAGATCATAATGAATATCCCCACACTAAGCCTCTCTCACCTCTGCCTACACGAGGCAGATAAGGAGGGGATGCCAGAAAGTATATAAACACATTTAGAAAAACGAGAAGGCAGGCAGAGTCAAAGTCAGTTAAAAATCTAAAACTATTTCTAATATCAAGATGTCGTTTGGGGGCAAGATCTGGTATATCTCTTTCAAACTATACAACCTAGATGTTAGACTGCCTCATGGCACGATGCCAGGAGGCCTCATTCATATAGAAAACAACATAAATGGCAACCGCCAGAGAGAGGTGCAGTGTCGTGGTCGTGCACCAGAAAAAGGAGTCCTTTCAGAAAAAAATACCAAGCCACATGGCACAGTGGCTCACGCCTGTAATCCCAGCACTTTGAGAGGCGAGGTGGGCGGATCACCTGAGGTCAGGAGTTCGAGACCAGCCTGCCCAACATGGTGAAACCCCTCTCTACTAAAAGTACAAAAATTAGCCAGGCATGTTGGTGGGCGCCTATAATCCCAGCTACTCAGGAGGCTGAGGCAGGAAAATCGCTTGAACCCAGGAGGCGGAGGTTGTAGTGAGCCGAGATCATACCACTACATATTTTTTCACACTTGCAACATATTCTTCACAAATCGATGTCAATAATGAGTTACTTTTGATTACTTAACAAGTATTTTTTTTCAAACATACTTTCTAAGAGAAATACAGACACGGTAAATGGTTTGCAACGAGCATAGTTCATTTGTAAAGGCAGTATAATGTTTTAAAAATTACACACCTTTTTCAGCTTATTGTTTGCTGCCACAATTGTTAAACTCAATCGAAGAGGCCCCCGAGGATTCGACACTTAAGGCTGAAGTCGTAGCAAGTGCTGCCACATTGGGGAAGAGAGCGGCAGAGATAACCACCACTGGGGAAGTGTAAACGGAAATTTCAAATTTAGATTAAGCCTGAGTGGAGTGGAAACAAACCCAGCGTGTTCAGGGACAGCGTCCAGATGTTTTCAAAATGCCCTGATTGTGGGAGCTGAGAAGGGAGATGTGGAGAACAGACACTCTGGGGTGCTCTCAGAAAGCAATGAGACAGATTTGAAACCCACCCTAAGGAGGCGTTGTAAATGAACCCAAGAACAGGAGCTTGGCACAGAAGGAACAAGTTGAGAGATAAGAAGTTTCCTGATTAAAATAACCCTAGTGCCTCTGAGATCTGCTTCTAGCACCAACTGACAGCTATTTCCAACCGCAGAAGACACCAAATGCAAGTCAGTAACAGGCTACAGGTCAATATCGCTTTCTTTCCTGCAGATGGTTTAAACACAACTTAGCAACTCCTCTGCCACCTTGTTTCTGCTGAAGCTCAGCCGGGTTTTAACACACCTGCCAAAACTGCCCCCTTCCGGGCCCAAGAGTCCAGGATTCCGTGCCAAGTCGTGTGGCCAGATGCCACTTGGGGATGGCGCCTGTGAGCACCAAAGCCTGCCCTTTTCGGGCTGAGTCACTACTTGTAACCACCAGGTGTCAGTAGCGAGGACGGAGACTCCTCTCCACAGTGCTCAGGGAAGTTTAGCCAGACCCTGAAGGGGGAGAAACCGGATGCTGTGGCTTTGGGGACAAGCAGTGCTATGGCCACATTCTCAGGCACTCGTGAGTATTTCATTTACTCAGTTGCCAACTCACCATGCAAACCCACCATGTAATTTCTGGGATGGCTTTAATTCAACGTCTTTCACATACTCAGAGACAAGATTAAGCACTGTTCTCACTTCAATAGGACTGGGATCTTTTCTCCGTTCCCTCCCCAATCCAGAAGGTAAAAACATAAAGCAGGGTTTTCCACTCCTTGCTTATCTTCTCTGTATAAATTACCAAATGAGTATTTTAGCAGTTTCTATTTGTACTGTGGTTCAAGGAATTTGGTTAATAATGCTTCAGCTTGGGACATGCTCGGGTATTACTAGGTACAGAGCCGTAAGAGGGAAAGTCTAGCAAAGAAATTGGATTATGCAAAGCCAGGACCAAAGGCCACTTCACTGCCTGTTTTATTGAACTGGATCTAAATTGGTTTCTCTCATCTGGTGTAGCATCTTGAACATATATACTGGATCTATGAGTAGCTGCAGCAACATTTAAAGTTGTGTTTCTGTGGCCTTTTAAACCCAGGATGTTAGGAAAGCTCTGCTATATCTATAGGTCCTTCCAGCCTGAGGACACATCTTTTGGAACAAAAGATCATGTGGATCCAGGTCCACGGGCTTTTAACACCAATCGCTGTGGCCTACCCAGTCACCAAAACAGCTCATCCTGTTTACCTCCGCCTGTCTGCATCCAAACACGCAGGGCTCCTGGCTGGGCATTCCTTTCCCTCTGGGTGCTTAGGGTATCTAGTTGGTGCTTCTGCTGCCAACTATCCCTTAATTTGACCCTCATGAAGCCTGGCTTCCACATCTCTCAAGCAAAGATGCTGAGGACAGAGGAGAAATACAATCTTCTGGATTAAGGACTCCAAGGCTTAGCTTAGGGTTTTGCAAACAGCTTCAAGTCCCCATCTTGCAACAAGGAAATATTCAAAGGTTTTGATGCTAGGTGGCATCAGTGAGGTCCAAGACCTGGAAAGGCAGTCAGTCTTGTGTCCATATGACTGATGGTGCAGTGAGGCAGTCCCACTGTCACTGCAGCAGAAAAGGGCAGGACATTTCTGAATAGGCACAGCCACCAAACCAAAGATACACGTTTGATCCAATGTCCCAAGGGGGTCTGCCTAAGGCTTAGCTATCATACCACCTTTACAGCTCCCATGTCGACATTTTTTTTTTAAATCACAAAAAGCATTATCCTAAGTGATCAGGAGGGCGCTAAGGGCATGTCTCTAGATAGAGTGAACCATAATCATGCCCAGGATCTCAGCTTCCCCAGTGAGATCACCACCCCTCCCATTTGCCTTGGACTCATGGCTTCCCGTCACATCCCAACCCACTCCAGCAACAGCATTCTGGCTTGTGTCTTCCAATAAGCGTTTTCAGCTCTGGACTGAGAAATGTGTTACAGGCATCCGAGGACAAGCTCGTGGAGCACAAAACCAGCCTCACCGTTTGGTGATGATGAGAAACAGTGGTGGACATTTCCTGAGGAAGAGGTGCTACAGTTCTGCCAGAGATCAGTTGCATGTCCATTCCCCACGATCCATTGCTAGAGAGAATCAGATAGGTATCCTGAGTCAGGGAGGGAGTGAGGAGTGAAGGAAAAGGGGAAGGAGAAAGGCCCAGGGATGGCGAAAAGCACCCTGATGCACCTAGCTACCCCGCCCACCCCTGCATGGTAACAGCCAAGGTTTTATGACTTAAAAGCACGTTGTAAATGGAAAAGTTCTCCATGCACACGGAAACGATTATGTGCAGAGATGTTTACTATAGTAGAAGGAGCCATGAACTCAACCTGAGACACCTGCATTCAAGCCTTCTCTCCTCCCAGCATCCCTGGGGATCATTCCCCAAGCCCCTCTCTCTGAGTCTAGTTCCTTGTATATAGCTCCTATCAATCTGATGTTATCATCACCAGGCACCATGGAGATACTGTGAAGATGCTTGTAAATGTTAAACCAAGTCACAAATCCCCAACATAATTATCTCTCACAGAGACTACAAAATCATGCTGACAGGCCGGGCACAGTGGCTCACGCCTGTAATCCCAGCACTTTGGGAGGCGGAGGCGGGCGGATCATGAGGTCAGGAGTTCGAGACCAGCCTGGCCAACATAGTGAAACCCCGTCTCTACTAAAAATAAAAAAATAAAAATAAAAATGAGCCAGGTGTGGTGGCAGGCACCTGTAATCCCAGCTACTCGGGAGGCTGAGGCAGGAGAATCGCTTGAACCCGGAAGGCAGAGGTTGCACTGAGCTGAGATCACGCCATTGCACTCCAGCCTGGGCGACAGTGCGAGACTCCGTCTCAAAAAAAAAAAAAGAAAAAAAAAAAGAAAAGAAAAATTAAAAAGAAAAAGAAAAAGAAAATCAGGCTTACAATGTGCCTTAAATTAAGAAGTGAAAGCCACCATAGGAAAACTGCCTGAATGTCTGCTCATCTTCATCGCCAAGAAAATAACTTTAAGATCTCATGGGTTGGACAGTTTTGTAACATAAGTTACTCTGATGGCCTGTTTCTATCAGTGGAAGCTTTACTAACAAGGCGTTGTGTTCATGCCGTAAAGGCGACATGGGACCAGTGAACTCTTTTCCAGAAAAGCCCATTTTAACTTTCCAATTTCAAGTCCTAAAAGGGTGTTTTATAAATTAATTCACCCATCTGACTACGGTTTGGATTTAAAAAAATCCATAAATACCCCTCTTCTTCAATGAGGCTGCATCAAGAAAAAAAAAAAAAAGTTAAACAATCTTATCAAATGAAGGTCGGGGCCCCTAGATCTGCTGTGAAGTTATTTGGCTTAAATAGAGACCTGCGCACCTAACCCAGCCCAGCGCTCGCTTCGTTTCTATCACTGAATCTGCTCTCGTTTTCTCAAAGCAACTGGAAGGGGGCAGATTGCCAGAAACTTCCCTGGGACGTCTGAGACTTCCAACTGTCTGCAAATAACACAGTCCTGAACCAGAAGGAGCAAGGGCTGGGAACCCAGATAGGGAAGAGCGGGCCGCGCAGGGAGCCTCCCAGCCAGGCACTCACGCTGACGATCGTGGAGACGAACAGCAGCACCAGCACCGCGACGTGGAGGACGATGATACCCAGCAACAGGAGGAGCATTCTGGCGGCAAGTTCTGCTCAGCGGAGTTTCTGCCTGTGGGGAGAGCGCTGGGCGTGAGGCCGAACGCACTGGGCCGAACGAGGGAGGCGAGCGCAGAGGGAGGGTCCCGCGCACTAGCGTGAGGCCCGGCCTGGCCCAGCGCCCGCAGCCCGCCCGCCCGCGCGGGTCAGGAGCCTTCGCGCCGCCTGCCGCCGAGAGGGGGCAGCAGCCTCCTGCAGGACCAGCGCCCAGCGTCCAGCGCCCAGCTGGACCCGCCTGCAACGGAACATCTTTGCTTTTAGAAACAAAACAAGCGGTTCGCACGTCTAAAAACACCCAGGGAATAGAGGGGTTTCCAGAAAATATGACCAGAGGCCACTGCAGGCTTCCACCCACCCCGAGCGCCTCCCGGAGACCGCCCTGTAAGGGGAGAGGTCCCGTTCTCCGAGACCCCAGTTCAGATTGTGAATTCGCCTACGGGGTGGAGGTAGGGGTGAGGGGAGTAGGCGCCCAGATTTCCGTGATAGACCTGGAGATACCCGTGACATGCGCTGGGAGAGACAGCAGCGAGGAGGCTGGTTTCCCAGACCCCAGTGCTCTCCGCATTCCGTTCGTCTCCAAGTTTCCACCCAATTCTGCCAGCGTAGAGGAACCGTCCTGGCCCCAGCTCAGCCTCGCGCAGACTCTGGCGGCTCCGGAGAGGCGGTGCAGAGCCAGAGGAGTGTGGAAAGGAAAAATGGCTCGGGAGGGTTGCCCGGACCCTGCGCTTCCCGTCCACCGCGCGCTTCCCCAGGCGCGCCCAACTGAGACTCCTGGGGGCAGGGGGCATTCTGCTCCTGCGCTAGACCCGCATGCTCGCCTAGGGGTCCAGTCTGCACCCCAGGCACTCAAAGCCAGGACACGGACCCCATCAAGACTGAGCTCCGGTCTGGGCGCGGTGGGACAGGAGCCCAGGAGCCTGGACCGAAGGGAGTAGATGTCCAGCGGATGGGAGAGAGAGACAGAGTAAAAGGCCGAGTCCGATAATTTCAGCCGGTCAGAGCTGGCAGGCCATCTATCCCAAGTAATGCGGTCCTCGCCCCTCATTTTAGACTTTGGGGGCAGTGAAGGCTGGGATGACTTGTTAGAGGACATGCATGGCTGTGGAAGATCTGACTGAGACTCTGGGGACCATTTCAGGCAGAGTCTTGGGCCAGGGAAACAACGTTTCAATAACCCAGTTTGGAAAGTACCCAATCTCAGGCCCCTCCGTTTCTCTCCACAAGCATCACATTCAAAGACACTGGAATGCGCTGGAAGAAATAAACAAGGATTTCTGATGACTCCCAGAGGGTTTGAATTAAACCTCAGATGGCATGAGGCTGGGAACTGGGGAGCCACAAGAGTCCAGCACTCTCGGGATGTCCGCCACAGGGGCTGTTTTGCCACTGTGTCCCGGAGTCAACGCCTCTTCAGCAAGGCGAAAACTGAGACGCCCTTATCCTCTATCCAGACACCAGCACCATCACCCTTGCCCTGTAAGGTCTTACAGACCATAAAGGCTCCCCTCGTTGTATTACTCCAAGCCCCATTGGAAGGGAACAGGACACACAAGGGACCCTGTGCCCCTAAACAGAAGCTCCAGGGAGCTGGCCAAAGCCCCGCGCCTGCTCTGCGCCTTCTGACACCCTCACTGGAAGATGCCCACATTTCTCCTCCATCTCCTTCACTGTCCCCACCAAATCACTTACAGCCCAAAGGAACAGCTGTCCCGATCCTCAGGGTGGCCTCAAGTACAAACTCGGGTGCGTTGGCTCCGCTGCCGGCGCGGTCAAAGCTGCGCTGCGGGGCTGCGCGCGCGCGAAGCAAGGGGGCAGTGGGAGGCTCCCGGCGTTCCCCTTTAACGGGAACAACGCCCTGTTTGCGTCGCTGCAGTAGGGTGTGTCCCTGGGTCAGCGTGTGCGGGAGGGCGGGACTCAGGGAGGAGAGAGGGCAGGAGAGAGGGAGGGCAGGAGACAGTTAACTTGGCCTTAAATGCGCCTCAGGGAAAAGTTGGTCTCTGCAAAATCGCGGCGACTTTTACTCGAAACCAGAGGCGGCCGAGCTTTCTCACCTCCCACCTCCCTCCTCCCCCGGCCCCGTGGAGATCATGGAAACCTAGTGTTGACCGAGAAACTGGCTCCTCAGCCCACCCTGGGAAGACTCAGCCAAATGTAGCTCAGCGGATGCCCAAGGATGGGCTTCGGGGCGCGCCGACGCCGACCGCGCCCGCGCGGGGCTGAGGTTGGATTCCACTCCCATTAACAGAGGGCAGCGGGCGCTTGAGCGCTGAAGGAAGTCCCTCTCTTCTCGGGTCCTGGAGCCCCTGCCCTGTCCTGGCGTCTTAGCCGGGCACACCTGCACCTCGTCGGTCCCCGCTATTACTGTCTGCACCTACCAAGCATGCCGGCTTCCTAGGATTGGCAGGGATTGATCTAGCGGGCTCTGCTTGAGTGCGAATTAGGGAAAGAAAAGTCCGGCGACTACCGGATAGCGTGGTCTGGGATTGGGCTCCTCCTAGCCTGGGCAAAACCAGACTACCACCGAATAAGCTCAGGCAAAGTGTTCCTGCAGCAGTCGGGCTTGGCTGTCGGCCTTGGCTGGCGTCCTGGCCATGGGGTTTAGGGGGCGGGTGCGAGGTGGCCATTTGAGGTGGGGTTGGAGCAGCCAAGGAAATCAGCTGATTCATAGCCTCCTAACGTGACCCGCCCAGCGTTACAGGGAGAGAGGCTAGCCCTTCAGTCTCCGCTTGGCAGAGGCGCGCCCAACTGAGACTCCCGTGCGCAGGCCAGCCTTGATGCACAGGACGGGGAGCAGGAATGTGGATGTTAAAGGTCTTTGCCTGAAAATGCAGCAGTTCACACGCGCGCGCGCGCGCGCGCACACACACACACACACACACACACACACTTCCCTACCTCTAGTGTACTGTGTCATAGAAGCTCATCCCTCTCAATGATTCAAATAATTCTATATTAATTTACAATTTGAAAGGAGCTGCTACTTTAGCTAATTGTATATTCTTACTGTAAGTAAAAATAAATTTGAAAAAGTCTTCAAACGGTGATCTTTTTAAAACTCTCATGTTACCAGATTAAAATGAAGTGTACTTGTAAATTGTATTTACAGTTCCCATTACACGCCAGGCACTTTGCCTGGACTTTTGTATGCATGGTCTGTGAGAGGCAGTGGTTAGGCATTCTGTCTCTGGGCTCCAACAAACCTAATCACCTTGCTTACTTTTGTTGTGAGTTTGGACAATTTCTGAAGTTCAGTGAGCTTCAGTTTTCTCAGATGCAAAAGGAACTAGTAATGCCTGCTTTAAAGGTTTATGGTGATGATTGAAGGAGACAATATGTACAAAGCAGTTAACATCGTGTCTGCAACATAATAAGGGCCCAGTGCCCAAATTGCCACCACTATTGTTATATCACATTTAACTCTCACATCAACTCTTCAGGGAAGACCTGACCACCTCTGCATGAAAGTAGCTTGTAACTCTGATAGGTAGGTCGATCGATCGATCGATAGACAGGTAGATCGATAGATTGATAGATATTTATAAATGAAAGTGCATAGGCAAGTAGAAAAAAAATGTCTAAAGACCTGGAAGTGTTTTCTTTCCTCCATGGGTCATTTTATAGGTTAGATTTGCTCTAGAAATTATTACTTTGTTTTATGCTGTTTGGACATTTATTTATTTAACCAACATTTTTGTGATTACTACATACTCAGGACAGTTCTAAGTAAGCACTTTACAAATATTAGCAAATCTAACTCAGGATTTTCTTTCCCTTCCTTTGTGATTTTCAAATAAACTTTTTAATAAAGTCTAATACACATACAAAAAAAGTGTACATATTGGGTGTTACAGGTCGCTTCTTGCTTTCTTTTGAACCCATTAGTTTAATCAATAATCACCCAGGTCACAGCGACACCATACGCTGCCAGACAGGTAAACCCAACCCATCTGTCCCTCACTGCCTCTGGTCTCCTGCCTGGCTCTCAATGGTGGGAGAGGAAATGCTACTCAGTGCCTGCTGACCAGGCTTGCCACACCCAGAGCCTGGCTGGTCAAGGCTCTGCCACAGGTGGCAGCTTCTCCCTAACCTGCTTACCAAGGCCGCCTGCCGGGTGTGTGTGAACAGCTATTTTCCATGGGGGAAGAAGCATCTAGATTCCTTTCTTCCTTTCAATCTGGATGCATTAGGGTTTCTAGATGCTCTCAGATGGCCCCCCACCTCCCCAGCCAGAGTGTATATCCACCTCTTAACCAAGGATATAAAAAAACCCCTGAATGTCCAGTCAATTCCAACACAAATGCACCATCTCTCCTGCAATCCTTTTCATTTGCAGCTTGCAGGGGGTGGGGAATTAGGCAATTCTTGTAAAGCATAGGCATGCATCACCCAGAGGCACAGGTTGCCAATAAAACTCACCCAGCCAAACAGCGTAACCCCTTCTTCCAAGCGGATTTCTTTGCAGTCAAATGCAAGGGATGCTAAGGCAAGGCCCTCCCCACAGGACAGCCAGAGACCCGCAGTCGACAGACTAAGCCTGCAGCTTCCAACCAGGCTCCCTGAGATGTTCCCTGGTGGTGCTCCCTGTAACTGAAGCCAGACCAGGCGTCTTTCCAGTTTATTCAGGGGCTGGTCCAATGCTGGGATATGTCATGGTGGCCTGAGAGGTTCTCAGCCTCTATTATTTAAAGAGACAGTGTCCAACTTTGTGTGCTTTCCAGAATACAGTAATCCCAAGAGGCCCTGCAGGGCATGGGGAAACTGGAATCAGAAGGGAGAAGAGCTTTGAGTATGCCTGAAGTCTGTGATGCCAAGGCTGTTCTCTCTGGAAGTGCCAACCTGTGTAATACCCAAGAGGCCCCACTGGCTCCCTTCCCCTCCCAGTGAATTTTGCAGAGATTAAATATACTGTGTGAAGGATCTGTGTCTACAGTGTTACGTATGTGCAGGTAAGTTTTATTTTAAATAAACATCATTTTAAGGGGCCCAAACATTGCACAGCTAATCTCTCACAGCATCACAGCAGTGAGCCAAATGTCTCAGGAGTCACCAAATCAAGCCTGCTTTGCTCCAATCCCTGGTTGGAAAGACTCTCTGTTGCCTGCTCTGTCTGCCTAGACCCCATCGCAAACGATCACATGTGTTGTACATTAGAATAAAACTTAGGGAAATGGGTTCTTCCGCCTCTGTCTTTAATGTGCCCTCATCAAGCTGACCTTCATGAGATAATTCAGTGTAAGTAAACGAACCTCTACTGAAAGCTTTCTAACCTGTCAGGCAGGATAGGCTGGAAGCGCAATTGGAAATTCTTGGAGAGGGAGGTAAAGGAAGTTATGGCATTTTTAGGTTCTTTGAAGCGTACCCACTCCAGCTCCCAGAGAGTCCTCCATCCCTTGAACCGCTTCTAGCTGCAAGCTCCAACACAAGGGGACTGGTTTCATTGCATGAGTTTCCTGCAATTCTGGTACTTGTGGCATAAGACTTCCTCTTGTGTCAGGGATCCCCAGTCTGGAGAGACCTGCAGAGTTTGGAGAAGTCCTTCCCTGTCACACACTTTATGTGTGGTTGGACTCTCCGGTCACAAGGGCCTCTCAATGGCCCTCTCTCCTGTTCTGCCCACAGCCAGCATCTGCTCACAGTCACCATCACAGCCAGCGCCGATGAAACAGTTTCACCTTTCTCTCTCGGCTGAAATCATTTTTATTTTTCCCAGCAGTGGTTCTTTAGAATCACTCAAGAGCTTTGTGAATGACCTAGCCTGGGCCATGCTCAGAGAAGCTGACTCAGGTGGTGTGGGATGGGGCTCAGGTATGGGTAATTTCCAGTGTCTCTCTCCCCACTGGATGTTTGGTTATCCAGCCAGGTTGCCATGTGGGGTTAGATTGTCCCTGATTTCCTTCCAGCTCCCTTCTGTTGTGGAACCCAAATGGAGATGAGGTGCAGTGTGGGCTGCTGCAGGATTATGCAAGTTATAGGTTCTGTCAGTTATGTCAGTTCTGCCAGGCAAAACAGGTGTGTGTGTGTGTGTGTGTGTGTGTGTGTGAGAGAGAGAG